TCAACAAAAATCAAAACCACCTCCAATTGTCATCAGCACAGGGGGAGCTGGTGAAATCAAGAGATTGACGAATGAAATAAACAATCAACCTGGTAGTTTCTTAATTGAGACCAAAAAGGGCAAACAAGGAACAAAAACGGTAACAACGGAGAGTTGGGATTACTACGAGAAATTCATCCAACTACTCAAAGACAAAAAGCATCACTTCCACACATACTCCAGCCAAGAACCACTGAAGAAGTACGTACTCTATGGACTCCCAGATATGGAAATCAGTGAGTTGGAGAAGGAACTTCAAACCGTAAAAATCACACCAGTAAAAATTGTCAAAATGACAATGAAACACAAAAGACACGAACAAGATGACGACCAGAATTACCTCGTCTACTTCAAAAAAGATGTAGAACAAGGTGGAAATTTCCTGGAATTCCTCAGAAAAATCAAAATTGTCAGCAGTTTCAAAATTAAATGGGCTGACTACAAAAATAGACAAGCTGGACCATCTCAATGTTCGAAATGTCTGCAGTTTGGTCATGGACAAAACGGTTGTAACAAACCGTCCGTTTGCTTCAGATGCTCTGAGCAACATGACTCGAAAACGTGCCAGTACATATCGAAAGAGACCAACAAGGTTCCACTCGGAAAACTCAAATGTTTCTTCTGCGGTGAAAAACATACAGCAATTTTCACAGGTTGTAAAACCAGACAAGAAATAATTGAAAAATGGAAATCAAAATCACAGAATGGAAACAACCGAAATCAAAACAAAACAGCAGGCCATTATTCATATGGACAACGGAGAAACAATCCTCCAACACCGCATCGTCCTGAGAGATCAACCAGAAACGTCCAACATGCACCAAAGCCTCAATGGAGAAAGAATAATGTGGAACCATCAACATCTGGTACACAAAAGCCTGTTCATCAAAAACAAGCTTCAGTCAACTACAAACCAAGGAACACAAATCCTCCTCCAAATCACAAACCCTCAAACCAGGGAAATAAAAATAACTTGAACAACCAGCAAAACAATAAAGAAAGAGGAAAACATTGGAAAAAGAATCAAAGAAAAAAGCAAAACGAGCGCATTAATAACAATCAACATCAAAAACCAAAGCAAGATGTTGAGCTTATGGACTCAGAAGACATCAGTCCAACAAGTCAGACCTCGAATGAAGTTTTCCCAGAACCTTCATTCAGTGCTGAGGTAGTGAATCGAAACATAACAACTAATCAACAAGCTCAAAGCACCAGCACAAGAGATAAAAACATCTCAGAAATAGAGGAATCAAAGTGCAAGTACCTCATCAGCGAGCTTCTCAAATTAATCGCCAAAAATCCAGAGTTCATCGACGAAATACTCCAAGCAATCGGCTCAAGCGCCAAAAACACCGCATACAATAATGGATTGTAGACAACAAAGTATCAACGTCCTCTACTGGAATGCTAACGGCCTCACTGACAAAATGTTAGCATTTCTCGACTACCTAAGCAAGCAAAACGTCGATGTTGCTTGCATCTCAGAAACATTCCTAAAACCAAACTCCAAAATTGACTCGCATCCAGACTACGTAATTCATCGATTGGATCGCGTGGATAGACCAAAGGGTGGTGTTGCAATCATCGTCAAAAGAAATCTAAAACATCAGCTTCAACCAGGCTACAACACAAAACTAATGGAATGCATTGGAATCAAAGTCTTCTTCAATGACACGGATAGTTGTCACATCCTCTCAGTCTATCTCCCAGGAGGAAGCAAAGGAGGGGAAATAGATCAACATCTGAGAGATGACATCAACAAAATAACAAATCTGAGAGGAAATTACTACATCTGTGGAGACTTCAATGCAAAACATCGAGAATGGAACTGCAACGTTGCAAATAAATCAGGAAATATTCTTCAGGAAATGTCAGGAGAGTTCATGATCTACTTTCCTGACTCGCCAACGTACTACCCAGAAGATCGAAACAAATCAGTGTCAACAATTGACCTGATGCTCTCGAATTCCAACCTCGAAACAACAGAACTTCAATGCACAGAGGCAATGAGTGATCACTGCGCTGTGTATTTCCAAATCAAAACATCAAAAATCGACAGAACTGAAAATACAGTCTACAGATATGACTACAAAAACGCAAACTGGAAAAAGTTCAAAGCACAAATTTCACGCCGCATTGAAGACAACATTGGAGAAAATTCTTGCAACACAACAGATGAGATCGAGAATCACATTAAGATTCTCTCTGAACTCATCATGGAAGCGAGGAACTCAAGTGTAAAAATGAAAAAGATCAAGTTCGAATCAACTAAACTCACACCGGAGATTAAAGATCTAATCAACACAAAAAGGAGTCTTCGTCGAAGATGGCAGAGAAGCAGAGATAATCAACTCAAATCTGAATTGAATTATCTGCAGAGAGTCATCAATGAGAAAATTAAAGAACTCAAAAACAAAAACTGGAATAAGCGTCTCTCAGAGATTCAACCGTCAAACCAAACAGTTTGGAGAATAGCAAAGTTTTGCAAAAAAGGTTCAAAAACAATGCCTCCATTGACAAATCTGGGTAAAACGTTCATCACCAACAAAGAAAAAGCCAGCGCACTCAGCGAGTATTTTCGTGAAGCTCACGAAAATCCTCTCGAACAAAGCGATCCACAACATACACAGGAAGTAAACAACACAGTCAAAGAAGCATTGGAACAAGACAATGATGAGAATCCAGAACTAACAGATGTTAACGAAATCGTGAGCATCATAAGAAATCTGAAAAATCCAAAAGCTCCGGGACTAGATGAAGTCAACAACATACTCATCAAAAATCTTCCTGAAAAAGGTTTCGAATACTTGAAATTCATCATCAATTCGTGTCTGAAACTCAACCACTTCCCCAAAGTTTGGAAACATGCAAAAGTGATTCCAATTCCAAAACCTGGAAAACCAGCAAATGAGCTAAGCAGCTACAGGCCAATAAGTCTACTCAGCTCAATAAGCAAAATACTGGAGAGAGTATTACTGAACAGAATCAACGATCATCTTGAGGATAACAACATCATCCCAAGCCAACAATGCGGCTTCCGGACTGGAAGATCAACATCTCACCAGCTCATCAAAGTGATCAAATCAGCAAAAGAAAACTTAAACAACAAAAAGTCAACAGGCATGATCTTCCTGGATGTAGAAAAAGCATTTGACAGAGTCTGGCATAACGGACTCTTGTACAAAATGCTCAAACTGAGATTTCCACTGCCACTTATAAAAACTGTAAGATCTTTCCTCAGTGAAAGATCTTTCGCAGTTTTTATTAAAGGTCAGTTCTCAGAAATCAAGGTAATCAAATTCGGAGTGCCACAAGGAGCAGTGCTTTCACCAACTCTCTACAACATCTTCACGTATGATGTTGTAAGAGAGACAACCAACAACATCGGTCTTTTCGCAGATGATACAGCACTGTATCATTCTGCAGAGAACTCGGCCGATATTGTGACACATCTACAGCACACAGGAAGAAAAGTTCAACAATACATGAACAAATGGAAGATCAACCTCAACAAACAGAAGACTCAAGCCTTATTCATCACAAACAGGCACTCCAGGCAACTACCAGGAAATAACATCAAATTTCTCAACGAAAACATTAAATGGGAAACAGAAGCTAAATATCTGGGAATGGTGATCGACAAGAGAGTGACATTAAAGCCGCATGTGGAGTATGTGACCAATAGGGCTCACACCGCATTAAGACAGCTTTATCCGCTCATCAGCAGGAACTCACAACTCGACGTACGAAACAAACTTCTCATCTACAAGCTAGCCATCAGACCAATATTCACATATGGTTGTCCAGCATTTGGAAGCATGGCAAAAACCCACCTTCAAAAACTTCAAGTACTGCAAAACAAATTCTTGAGAATTGTTCTCAATAAAACAAGATATGAAAGGATCACCGATCTTCATACAGAAGCGAAAATACCGTCCATCGAAGACTACGTCGGAAAGTTGCAAGCGAACTTCAACAGTCGTCTTGCATCTCAAAACACCGAATAAATCAAATGAAATACAAAAGAAAGTAAAATCCGTAAATGAAATCAAAATTAAGAGACAAAAGGCAAATTGAATGCCTGAAACCTTAAAACAAAAAGCAACAAAATGTATAGAAACTTTGTACATACTTAAATTTAAATGTAAATAAATAAAAAGTTTAATTTTAAAAAAAAAAAAAGATGAAAAATGCATAAAGAACAACAAACTCATTGACATTATCTTCATCTTCAAATACCAAAATTTTGCCACCAATAATGAGAAGCCAAATTCCTGAAGCCTTAAAAATATTTTAATAAAACTTTATTATGATGTTTAAAATCTTATCGATAATCTTCATTACAAAACATAACTAGCTTACCCCACAAATGATATTGAACAAAGATCCTAATGTTTTTAAGTTTCTTTTACTAAAGTTCACCATTTTAATCAAATGATCTTAATTCACACAAATCTATTTTATAAGTTTTTAATCTAAGTCAATATACTTATTTCAACATTAGTTTAATCAATCTTGTTTTTAATATATTGCAAGCTAAATTGATCTAATCAAATATAAAATTAATTTGTTAAAAATAAATGCTACCTCTTTCTCTAATCTACTATAATAAGATAACTGATGATGTCCATAAACCGGTTTTCAAGAATAAACAAAGTTCTTTTCAAATCATGGAATGCTAATCGTTGCGCATATAAAATTTTATTTGTGAAGAAGAAGGTTTCGCACATTTCATTGACTTTTTTTTGGCAATCTAAAATCTTCAATGAATCCCAAATTGAAAAAGCTGATAATAATCTTGTAAAATAAGAAAATCTTGCAGGTTATCAAATTCATTAAACTTGAACTTTGAACTTTGTTTCTAGTAGAAAACATTCAAAATTTCATTTGAAAATATGGGAAAATATTAAAGCTTTATTGTTGGAAGTTAAATTAGAATTTTGGCTACAATAATTAAAGAATTAAGCATTGTTGTCAGGTGATTCTCTACAGTTTGAAATGAACAGAACTATTGAACTTGCTAAAGTTGAAAATAAACATTAATTAACATAAAACTTTTTTTTTAAATTGTACAATACTCACCAACGATGATTATAATGATGAATATTCCAGCTATTATGAGTGGATGAAATCCTTCTAGTAAAATATATGATGTAATTAGTAAAACGATCGTTCCAGCAAACTAAAAGAGTAAATTTAAACATTAAAGCAATTTTTAAATCAATATCAAATCTACTCACCGTGATCATATACAATAAAATATCACAAAAGCAGTCTTTACAATCCAACCAACAGTCTTTCATCTTTAAATTCTTCTAAATTGGAATATTTTTTATTGTTTAGATTCAATATTGTTTACGTCCAATTAGCTTCTCTTTTCAAATACATTTGATTCTGTTTTTACATATCATATGTTTCTGTCGAACATAGCAAGATCAAATATTTACTCATATTATCTCAAAAAATCCACATAAAAACAAAAAAATATTTTTTTACAAATAAAGTCAACACACCTAACCTGTTATAGTCATCGTTGCTTTAAAGAGAGTTTAAGGTTTTAAAATTGTTGATGTTTGTTGTGCTTTTAAGGTTCAAGTGAAATTTGAAATTAAATATTAATTGAAGTTTGTTTCAATTCAAAATAAATGAACAAATGCACATGTTTAATTATTATTTAAAAATAGAACATCACGCAACATTGTTAATCCAAAATCACAAATAAAACAATATCAAAATAAACAAAAATTGCCACAAATTTGTAATTAATTCGTTAAATTCATGCCTGTTTATTGATTTTTGTGATTTTGATTTATTTTTAATGCCAAAAGGTTGGAAGCAATCAGGTGCCACAATTTTTCTCTCTCTCAAAATATTGGGATAGGATTAAGTAAACACGGTATGTGCCATACAATGTGTCAGGATATCAATCGATACACAAATCTCACATTAAATGTGATCAATAAATGACAGAGAAATATGTGTTGTTGCAAGAACGATATTGATTGTGTACACACAGAAAAAAAAAAAAGTTCTTCCTTACTTACATTGAGAAGAGTAGAGAAGTTGTCGTGTTTTAGATGTGTTGCTGATATGTGTTTTTTCGTAATATTGGGTTGGAAGTCTCACATGCTTCTTTGTCTTGAGGATCAAAATTTGTAGAAATTTTATGTCGCAAGATTTGTAGCTTTAATTTGTTGTTGTACCATTTTATAGATAAATGTATGGATGAATCTTGAACTTGGAAATCAACGAGGAATCTATGAAAATTCCTGAAGAACCATTGTTCTTTTTTGAAAAATGACCTTTAATTTTGGCCGTAATTTTAGAAGTATCAATGATAAAAAATCAGGTACTAATCCAGTGTCGAAAAAATAGTAAAATAGGTTTGTGAAGAAGTGGATTTCTTCTTTCTAAATCTCGATGGCTACGCATCTGACGCCTGGTCCGATAATTAATAATTTTCATGAAATCCAACTTCATTATCATCATTAACAACTGTTGGAATAATTCATTAATAAATTATGCTTTAATGGAAATTTTCATCAACTTCCGTGGACATTTTTAAATTATTATATTCACACCGTTTTCACGTGTGAATCTATTGGTTTTGTTCAGATTGAAAAATCAGTTTTTCCCATTTTGTGAGAAAACAAAGCAAAATTGATTATAAAAGGTCACAGAAGAAAAGTTTGTGCCTGAAATTTTACATCATTTTCAAAAAACAGATTTCAAATTGGTTGTGGCATTGCTGAGAAAATCGCAAAATACGCTTTCTGTAAGCAAACAAGCAAGCAAGCAAGCAAGCAAGTTAATCAGCAAGAAATCTCAATAACTCTACAATGTGTAGAGACTTCTAGTTTTTTACATTTGATCCGTGCTGCTCTATAGAAGAGCTGTATTGTTTTTGGGCAAGGTAGGAACAGCCGTTGCTTCAGAAAAAGCAAAAAACTTTCCTTTCTTACGAATTTTTCAAATTAAAAGTTCACTGTGATTTTTTTTATTTTAAATTAAACTTTGGATGAAAAAAATTTTTTTGAGCAAAGAACCAAGAAGGAAATACTTTTTCAATTTTGGACTAGGGGCGACCCTATTCAAAATCAATTTTGTCTTTTTTTTCTTTGAGGGTTTATCCAAATGGATTGAAACTTTGCATAAATATTCTAGTGTTTAAAGCAAATACAAATAAAACATCCTAAAATTTTTGAGCAAAGAACCAAGTAGGAAATACATTTTCAATTTTGGACTAGGGGCGACCCTTTTCAAAATCTAGTTTTTCACTTTTTTTCTTCGAAGGTTTATCCAATTACAGTGAAATTTTGTGTGAGTATACTAATATTTATACAAAATAGTTTTAAATATCTAAAGCAAGAAATGTATTCTATATGTCGTCAGACCCAAATTTTATAAATTTGGTTGTACATTCAAAAACATCATGACTTAAAATTTTGTCCAAAAAAATGATTTTTATTAATTCAGAAATGTGTGAACTGAAGATTAGAATGCTCATACAAAGTTTTACAGTATTTGGATTTATCCTCGAAGAAAAAAGTGAAAAACTAGATTTTGACTAGACCTGTCCCAAGTTCATAATTGAAAATGTATTTCCTACTTGGTTCTTTGCTCAAAAAAAATTTAAGATGTTTTATTTGTATTTGTTTTAAGCACTAGAATATTTATGCAAAGTTTCAATCCATTTGGATAAACCCTCGAAGAAAAAGTGACAAAATTGATTTTGACTAGGGTCGCCCCTAGTCCAAAATTGAAAATGTATTTCCTACTTGGTCCTATGCTCAAAAAAAATTTAAGATGTTTTATTTGTATTTGTTTTAAGCACTAAAATATTTTTGCAAAGTTTCAATCTATTTTTATAAACCTTCGAAGAAAAAAGTGACAAAATTGATTTTGACTAGGGTCGCCCCTAGTCCAAAATTGAAAATGTATTTCCTACTTGGTTCTTTGCTCAAAAAAATTTTAGGATGTTTTATTTGTATTTGTTTTAAACATTAGAATATTTATGCAAAGTTTCAATTCATTTGGATAAATCCTCAAAGAAAAAAGTGACAAAATTGATTTTGACTAGGGTCGCCCCTAGTCCAAAATTGAAAATGTATTTCCTACTTGGTTCTTTGCTCAAAAAAAATTTTAGATGTTTTATTTGTATTTGTTTTAAGCACTAGAATATTTATGCAAAGTTTCAATCCATTTGGATAAACCCTCGAAGAAAAAACTGACAAAATTGATTTTGACTAGGGTCGCCCCTAGTCCAAAATTGAAAATGTATTTCCTACTTGGTCCTATGCTCAAAAAAAATTTAAGATGTTTTATTTGTATTTGTTTTAAGTACTAGAATATTTATGCAAAGTTTCAATCCATTTGGATAAACCCTCGAAGAAAAAGTGACAAAATTGATTTTGACTAGGGTCGCCCCTCGTGCAAAATTGAAAATTGATTTTCTATGGTGTACTTTGGTCAAAAAAATTTTTGAATGTTTTATTTGAATTGACATAATTCTGACATAAATCACATACCAATATTACTTTTTGTAATGCATAGCTTAAAAAAAAATCGAAATTTAAAATTTCGACTACCCCATATGAATTTTGTTCACACTCCTCACTGTGAAAACCAAAAAACAAATTCTTTATCTTAAAACACTTGACAAAATAGCGACATAATTCAGGATTAATTACTTTTTAATAATATTTTAACATTTACGAGAAAATGTGGTTCAAATAAGTGTGAAGTATGGCCGAGATTTGGACCAAAATCAGCTATACTGGTTCATAGTGTTCCCGAGGGTGACAAAATTCAAACTAAGTGTTTTTGTAGCTGACATAATTATGACATAAATTAGGTATAACTTTTGAACTGTGTCGATATGGGTCTCGGCCGTACTTCACGCCCACCCTTCATACTTATGCTGAGTAAATCTTGGTCTATCCATAAGACTTTTAATGGTACGGTGTGAATATATCCGCATTGGGTTTCTACCCGATACACTAGTTTAATTAGTTCATTTTGATTAAACATTTTAATGATTTATTAGATTTTGATTAAAGGACTCATTAGGAAATGTTGTCCAGCTTTGGGTAGGAAGGAGCTGATCACAGTGTAGATATTTTTAAGGAGCTTTTTTGGTAAACATTCTTAAGTTCTATTGTAGATCCAAACCCCATTTTTATTGACTCCGTTTCTGGACACTTACATCCACAGGCTGTCCAATAGCATACTTTTTAGCGAGACAGTTCCAATTTTTTGATTAAAGACTCGCCAAATTCATAATGTTCCACTTTTTCTAACCTATTTATCTTGGAAATTGCTTTAAAATTTGGTCAGTCCTGTTTTTTCAGAGCTGAAATCGGTACGTGTCACGCTTGTTGACCAAAAATCGGCCAAAACTTGGCTAAAACGGGTTCACAGCCTGCACATTCAAAATAATTTAATATTTTAAAAACTTTGACATAGATGTCATTTATGAATGACCCCCACGGTGATTTTTTTCAGAGAAAATGGAGAAAATTAAGATTCAATATTTAATGATTTCTATTTAATAAAGGATCTATTTGAGACATTTTTTAAATGAGATGTAAAATTAAGTAAAAGCTAGAATTGTTGGAATTTCGCTCAAAAATTGGATGATTTTGAATAAAAACAAGAAGCAACTAAGTTTGAATCATTATTTAAAAGCTTTTTACTACTATTAGCACCATAGTTCATCTGTAGCTTCTTTCAAGATTACAAATCTCCTTAATTTCATTGTCATTAAATAAACTCAACATTAATATTTGATCCTTAAATGTACATCTGCTTATTTAATCCAATTTACACTCATTTACTACCTTGCTATCTCACTTCTCATCTCACTTACTAAATGATAAGCAAACAAAACTGATCAAACTTTAAAGTTATTTATTTAATGTGCATATCTCCTTCCGGATATCATCATAAACACATCACAGCAACTGCAAAGTAATAAAAATTAAATTCGCAATAAAAGCGAAACAATAAAAAACAGTTAAAATTTGTGCATGTTTTCAAGTAATCCACGGTGTGATTATGACATAATTTTATTCACATCCGTTTAGAGATAAAAAGCGAGCATTGAAGAATGAAGAGAAACTTTATCCGTCTACAGCTATCTGCAGCTATTTACTATTATATTGTGTGACATGTTCATTTTTCACATATAATTATTCCTTCATCGTTCCCAACAACGACAACTATAGAATATCAAAGAATTTCTCTCAGCTTTTTTCCACTCTTCTAGTGCTTGCTCTAACTACTGTTGTTGTGCAACTGTCAA